AAAAAAAAAAAAAAAAAAAAAAAAAAAAAAAAAAAAAATATGATCCGGAATCCTTTGCGGCTCCATTCGAGTTACATTTGAGATTCGACTTTTGATTTACTTCCCGAGGTATCTACTCGCAATTAAGGATCACCCAGTGCATGCCGTTGTGGAACGCTACGCGAGCATCCTTGAAGGTTGCACCAGGCAGAACCAGGAAGAACCAGTGACGTCGCGATTCCAATGGCTTGTCATAGGCTGACCTTTATCGATGGAGCGTGCGTGCATAGCTTACGTGCGATAGGTGCATTAATCGCGAACGGTGGGTTGCATAATAAGTCGAGACACGAACGAACCAGGCCCAGGCCCTGACAACGGCCACCGGCGGACCTTGCGTGGGTGCGAACCGCGCGTTGCTTCATAAATTCTCGGCCGGTTAAGCGCGCTCACATGCAAAATTACGACGATGACAAGAACGCTGACAACGAGCAATCCGATCGGGTTCAATGAAAAATCGCCTCGCTGTAGTCCATACTACCGGAGCCTGTGCGTGCAAGGCGCGACTCATCCTCGAGTCGATCGGAATAATCGTTGCAAATTTTTTATACGAAGGAATTTCACGTCTCTTAAGAAATTTTTGTAATTATAGATTGACCTGTATTTGACTCTCCCATTGTTTATATCCGAGAGACAACTCCTTATCACCTATCGCACGTTTCCCAAGGATTCGAATTTTTACTCGAGGAATAAGTGGGTCGATACTCCGTCACTCTCAACCTCGACTGTCTCGAACAACTTTCACGATACTTGGATCTTCCCGCGTAGATCCATCGATCAGTCATCGATCCACGCGATAATGTACCAAAAAAAAACCCGCTTGCCACGTGTACGCGAAAGGACGCGACAAAGAATCGAAACAATGACTAACAACGTCTGCGAGCTCGTAGACTTCCATTTTCTTTTAGCCAAGATCGAATCTACCCAATTAGAATGACGCGCATTTTCCCCGTACGGTGAAAGTTTCTCGGAAAAAGGAGATCTCGATAGGGGGGGTCCCATTAGATATGCCAGAGATAACGGAAATACCTTGATAGCTGGTAAAAGGACTTGCATGTCCTCGCTAACCACCATCCTCGGCTCTTCGTCGCTGTCCAACTGAGACTTGAGCAAGGACACGCCACGTTCTAAAATCAGATTGAACATCTGCAAGGATACGACCAGTGCCCTTTCTTGGACCTCGGACCGGTAACCCTGCTCCATTTGGGCATCTGAAACAACCAACAGAAAAATCGAACCGTTAGCGACACGAATGGCGACATTTCAAAGCTTGCTGGTAACGGTTAGAGACAACGCTTAGCGACCTCCGCTTCTGCAATTTACAGATCGGAGGTGCGCGGGCTTGTAATAAAATTGAACGGTATAATGTGGCCATGCTTTTACTATGCCGATCGTGTCGTACTCGTATACTCTTCGTGTATATATATATATATATATAACTTGCGAATTTTCATGGGAGAAAACTGAATTTTTAAAGACGACAACACGAAATTGTCTTGAATTTGCCAAGGTTCATACTTGACAAAAATTCGCAGAGTGCAAGGGGTTAGACATTGTCGAGTCGGATAGCTATGAAGTCAGCGGAAAGGCGAGGGAGAAGGAGGGAAACAGACGCGGAAACGCGGCAGGCAGCGTAGAGACGTGGCCTTTTCATTATCTCGTATATCCATCGCGGGTAATCGGCATAGTCGACATTTTAACGTCGTTTCCGTGGTACAGGGTTGCGAACGAGGCTAACAGAAACCGTCCAGCGTATCGGTGTACGTCTGCGGGGGGAAACGGGAACCCTAACTACTTTACGAAGGCGACATTGTGCGGCACCTTTCATCTAGGATACCGCGACTACCTTGGGGCCCTTGGTTGCAATCATGCTGAACATCCTGAGACGATCGTAGCTCATCGAAAGCGTCCTCTTCGTCGAAATTGCAATCGTTTGCAATTGCTACCTCATTGACATTTTATTCGTTAATCATTTTACGAGTGCGCTTAAAAATTTTTGCTGTGAAATCAAACGTAATACGTAACACGAAAAGTCGTTAACAAATTGTCTAGCTTACACTGAACAATCTCAAATGGATCATTTTTTATTCATGATAAAATGTCGTATTATACACGAAAGAATGAACTTTTCCATCAGATTATCTCTAGAAATCCTTTCTGACTATGCACTTCATCGAATTATCGCAGCGTTTCGCTGGCCTCAACCGATTCCCACGACTAACTGTCTCTGTCCGATCGCCAATCGCACCGGACTGCTAAACCTCTCTCACAGGCATCAAATATTCATTCCACGTGTCGCTATTCTTTGAATCCATTCATTCATCACTCCGTTCTCACAATCGATACTCCAGTATAAACGTTCGATCGCGGATCCTACACGCAAAAATGTCAACCGAGCTACGACATGTGAATTCAGTTTTCGCAGTCGCAAAAATCTAACGATGGAACTAATATGTGGGTCGCTTTTGGCCCGACCGTAAGAGAGGAGGATTAAAATCGTATTAAAATTCGAACGAGTGGCCCTGCTTCTCTCCGAAGTGCCTTCAGCCCTAAATACAGAAACATCGCGTTGTCTCCCTCTGAAAGCCCTTGCGGTTGAAGTTGACACCCCCTCGGCAGAGATATACTGGGACAGAGATCGAGTATGGTGGCCGTTAGCGAACATAGATGCGCAGGGATGGCGAAAATTGAATAAGGTAAGCCCAAACAAACGAATAACCCTATATACCCGATGGCAAAGTCCAACGTGTGTGCAGGCGAGAACCCACTCGACGATATCATGGCATCTGGCAGTTTAATTTATCGCGGATGTGGATAATAATTAGCGTTTAACTGCGAGCTTCGCTCGAACGCCCGTGTGGTCTTCTTCGAGTACTGGGTGTGTAAGGGGTAATTAGTTAGGAAAGATTTATAGAAAGGCCCTTAACTAATCGCCGATACGATCATTAGGGAAAATTACGCTTATCGTCTGTCTACCCCACCTCGGATTCTTCGCCCTCCGCTATAGCCATGGCGCGTCAAAGTTGCGTCGAGCACGTCAAAGTTGTAATCGACGTGCTTCTTTATCGGTCGAATCGTTAGGAAGAATTCCTAGAGATTCTATCGAGGCCAGTATTGTCGAAGGATGCCAATTAACTATCGGGTGCGCGAATGCCAAGCGCGTAATTGCGAACTGACCTCTCCGAAAGAAAAATCAGAAGGTTTTTACCTAAGCAATAAATTTAAATATAAAATGTTCTACTCGTGCCCTCCGTTAAACAGTGTAAAAACAACTTAAAGCGACAAATGGAAACTCGAGCAATTACTTCGTTAAAGCGTCAATTAGGGAGGAACTCATCCACCGTCTGCGAGCTGCAGACGCGCAAAAGCGTTAACCAGAAGTTGCAACAGTTTGCAGAGAGCAAGAGGTAATTCGATTGATGCGCGAATAAGAGGAGGCAACGACGTTGTCAATGAGGTCTGAAAAGGCAGCACCCACTCGGCTCGCCCTTCTTTCCTAACGAACAGAACGGGGCGCGAAAGGGATGGGGGCACTCTCTTGTCGAGTGAAAACTACGTCGCGAACGTGGCCCGTTTAATGAAATTGGAGGGCGAGGTCAGCCTTCCTGTTTCCAGAACCGATACTAACGCGATTACCTCGCGAAAACGGACGCGGAATCGAGTTAGCCCAGGCTGGGCCAGAAGGGGACCAAGGGGATGATTTCATTAGCATCGATTCTAGTGGCTGAGTTTCTGATTCCGTTCTATTTGCCGGCGCGCGACGACAATAATGAATTTTCCGCGAGACGCTTAATTCGTCGTCGGCGAGAATGAAGTCTTCCGTTGTCAAATTAATGGCTCCATCAGCGAAACGAAGGCCCTCGCGAAACGGACGGGGCAACGGCGTCGCTCGAAATCAACGGAAATCGCATTTTCCGCGCTTCGACGAACACGCGAACGCGAACGCTCGCATACACGGCATCGTCAACTCGCATGATTGGCGCTAAACTGAATTACCGGAGCGCAGCGTCGGGGAGTTTATTTCTCATTTAGAATACAGACTTGGACTTGGGATGCTTTATAGGCGTAAATTAACCCGAATCGATCTCCGTTTTATGCTGTCGTTTCATGGAGTTCCAAACAAATAGTATGTTAAAGTAAACTCCAACCAGCTATTTCCAAATCGAAATTTCGTCAAGCTCCATCAGGAAACAGAGAAATACGACTCCAGGCGCACATCCTTACTATTGGCTTAAAATATTGACCGTCACCTTGTCAAGGGAACATTGTTTCAGAGAAACCCTCGTAAATTCGCGACGCTTACGGACTTGTTAAGTCAGTTACACCACTCGCTTTCCAACAGCCCGAACACGAGAACCCTTTTGTTTGAAGTCAATCGCGCCCGTTATGATGACCAATAGAGAGGCATTACACGACACGTTAAAGGTAACTGTAATGACCGCGAAAGAGAGCTCAACGCGTGGAGAGCAAACTCCCATCGGCGACTTTAATGACTTCGAGTGTCGTCCGCCATTTGCTTAGACTGGTTTAACGGAACGGACAAGTCCGCGCTTCGGGCCAAAAAATCTCCCACGATACAAAAATCGCGCTTTGTTTGCGCAGCTTCGAGCGACGAAGCTGCACTAGCAGATGTTTAAAAACTTATTCTACGTTCAGAATAAATGGAGTCACGAAGAGAGTACGAATTTACGTACTTACGGGACCAACTGTATAATTAAGTTACAAGTGTTCACGGAGGGTTAAAGGCAGAGACTCTTCAGGCTCCCTGATTAATTCTGGAGAAACGAGTTGGATGAAGATTAACATTGGCGCGATCGGTCTTAATGAAACAGAACTCCGCGAGGTTTATTAACCAAATCGACATATCCTCTGGAAGTGGAGAAGCCCTCAGCAATCGACAACTATGACAGCCGCGTCGCAGGAGCGTCAGCCATCGAACAGCGAAGAGGCGTTCATGCGTGAAGATCCAGCGAAGACCGTGACGAAATTCCCGACGTTCCCGCGTTACACGTAGCACACGAACGTAAGTGTGAACGACACTTTACACCGCGCCCCGCGGCCAACTTGCTACATTTATGATTTAACGCTCGTCCCTCTTCATCTCCCACCGACGCTCGCTCGACATCGAGCTACCGCGTTCACGATAGCGATATTCATTAAAATAATCATTACGAACAGAACGGTCCCCAGGACTCTATACTCTGAATTTATCAAAGGAAACAATTCTTCGTTCGTCCTACAGAAGAGGTAAAATACTTGCGAGCTACATGAAACGTCGTTACGATAATAAATGCGTACTAATATAAAGTGGAAAATGGCGTTTTCTCAACCCATACAGGCCTCGCATGAATTTTTCTCTTCCGAGGTCGGACCGCCTCCCCAACGCATTTATTTAATCGCCCCAATACCGTATGTGGTACGATAAGCACGAATAGGTTAATCTCGCGCGTGTAATTAATTCCTAATACCCGAGCCCATGCATTACGGAGCTAATAAGGTATCCCCAGCGTTCGCGACCGATGGTATCTCCGCGATATCCGTTCCTGCGCTCGCAGATTTTCGAAATTTATGATTTCCATAATTCAGCCCGCCGATGGGAGTAACGAGCGGCATCAATCCGCGCCGGTGAAGGGATTCGGTCGCCGCCAGTGGCGAGGCGTCCCGGCACGCAAAGAAGCTGGCCTCTGGAAGGCGCCTGGCGCCAAGCAGCACGCCCCGAGACGTTCGACGAACCATAAGGCTCCGTCCACATCGCGTTCTGCACGCCGCGAGCCGGATAATACCCAGGCGACGTCCTTGGCGCGTTTTTCCCTCCTTCTGGGCGATAAGCCCGGAACGTTTCGGAAGGGAGAGGAACGACGAGGCAAAGAAAGGGAGGAAGAGGCGCGTATACGCGAGTTAAGTTATCGTAAACTGGTTTGAGCGGATCGAAAGGACAATTTAATAAAATGGCGTCAGCCAGCTAGCTGGATATCCGATTACGATATCCCTCTACGAGCGGGGACGATAAATTCCGCGAGAAACGATGGGTCGTGTCGATAACGCGATGAGGAGTGACGCCCAGGGTAACGCGAGCCCTGAAGAGCTACCGCTAGTCGGGACGATTTCGAGAATCGGATGGGAACACCGCGGATCTTACGGTATCGATCGGTTGACACTCGTGGAGACGCTGTTTGGCGAGTGAACGTGTCGATATAGGAAGAAATGTTTA